CTTCAGTCAGAGTCCTGTGGGTTTTGCAGTCCTTTGGGCGTGGAGTGTGTTACTTCAGCATTGCTCTCTTAGAATTTGCAGTTCAGATACAGGTGGAAATTGGAGGGTCTTCTTGTCTTGTTGAGGGCTTTGCTTTCAGTAGCTTCTTCGGGAAAAGGTCTTCAGTGGATTTTGTGCTTCTTGAAGTACTACATAGAAACTTAGTCAGCATGAAGTCAGAGACTTGGCAATTCATCTTGCACCTAAGAAATGGAAGTCTTGTGACCATTTCTCCCCAGGGAAGAATGCAGTCATCAACACCTTGCATGTTGAGTTGAGACAGTGTTACAGGGAGCAAGGCTGCCTAGGAGCCTGCCAGGAGACCTAGCAAAAACTCATGGAACCGATGTGTGTTTTGAGTGGAGCGACTTGTGTCTGTATGAACAGGGGGTGAGGTAGCAGAGATTATTTCTGGGAGTCAGGAACTGGTGTTGCTGCAACACTTAAGGATTCTTACTGAGGCAGTAATTATCATTCCTGGGCATGGAAAAAGGGTACAAGGCCCATCTTATGATCAGGAGGCTGAATGCACTGTTTTGCAAGGAGTTTCCTAGGAGAGCTTCATTGCATGCTTGCTGGTTTGTCAGATGATGAGAATAGTGAAAGCATTTTGCTCTGAAAAGTAATCTCCAAAGAATGAAGTTCTCGGTGAGCCTCATATTTGTAAGAAATCAAGTTAATTAGCTTTTAGAATGGACTAGACTATTTCAGTTGGAAGGGACCTACTACGATCACCTAGTCCAACTGCCTGACCACTTCAGGGCTGACCAAAAGTTAAAGTGGGATATTAAGGGCCTTGTGCAAATGCTTCTTAAACAGTGACAGGCTTGGGGCATCAACCACCTCTCTAGGAAGCCTGTTCCAGTGTTTGACCACCTTCTCTGTGAAGAAATGCTTTGTAATGTCCAGTCTTTCACCTTCCGATCTTCTCAATATCCTTTTTTTAAAAAAAAAAACACCAAAACCCACCAAAAAAACCGCAAAAAAAGAAAACACCAGAATTTAACTGTTTGAATGAATATGTGGGTATGCATGATCATTTCCAATAGACAAGGTGGGTTTGGATGGGGTAGTCCTATGCAGAACAAGACTAGCAGGACCAAGGACTTGTTATTACAACAGGAAAAACTGGCCCCAGGATAGAGTTTAACTTGGGCTATCATGCTGTTGACGCTTTTCTGCAATGTCAACCTGAGAAGTTTCTCAGCTGAATACATCTTGTTGGCCCTCCATTCTGCACAGGTTTCCTCTATGTTAAGATTGGAGTGAATCAGTATGAAACACTTAAAATCTGAAGTCTTATGTGATAGTGAATCTTCATGTGTCATGATGCCGTGGTGCATGGGAATTCTCAAAATTAGAATGAGTGGAAGACCAGATGGGCTCTGATCAGGAAAACCATAAATTGTAAGTCTCTTGGTGTGTATTGCCTTGTGGTTTGCTTTAGTTTTCATTTAGACCAGCTTTAGAAAGTTAATATCAACCGTTAAACCTTTTAGGCTATCTTTCCCCCTCCTTTTTTTTTTTTTTTTTTTTTTTCTGGTTTAGCAGTGAATAAAAGAGCTTTGTACAGTTCTTGAAACTGAGCCTGAAACAGCTCTGAACAAAATATAGTGTTCCTTTCAAAATCTTGGAAATAATTACATCATAGGCAAATTGGGCCAGAAACCGTTAATAGTATTCTTTGTGGAATGAAATCCCATGGGAGGACCTATTTCAGCAAACTGGCATTGTTTACAAATAGATACAGTGACAGATACAGTTGTCCCATTCTGAGGGACAGCTGAAACTTTGTGCCCTATAATGGACTGCACAGAATAACCGCCTTGCTTTTGATAACGAGCTGAAAGCGTGCCTTGGTGCTTCTGTGGTCAGCCTTGCGCCAGGGAGCGAAGGCTGTCTTTGGCGCTGGAAATGTATTTTCTAGGTGGGTTAAAGAGAAAATAAAAGCCTCTGTTGCCATAAGCTCCTAGTCTGGGAGAATTGCTGGAGGGACAGGGAGCCATGTCCAGATGTCTCTGTTGGGCTTCATAAGCTGGGAACTCCCTCGCGCTTCCCTGTGCAGAAATACCCGGGCATCGTGCACGTTCCCTTCACCAGGATAACACGCATGGCACGTGTAGTTCTCCCTATTACCTTGCAGTAGTTTATATCACTGGCTCTTTTTTTTTTTCCTGCCCCCCTCAATCCTACCCCTTACTGAAAAACATTCTGCATTTCGGGATAGAAATCACAAAGATTAGTAATGTTAACTGACCTAAATCTTTTCTAGTTCTCTAGGTGAATAGGCTAGTCTGTACTTGAAAGTTAATTCAGCACAAACCCTAGCCTGGGCACAATTATAGCTATTCCTTGGTGACGTAAAACATGTAATTGCCTAAGTGTGTGCTTCCATAGTAGGGTGGGCCATGTTCCTCCACTGCCAGAGCAGGTCTCCCAGTAGATCTCCACCTGGACAGCTGGGCTGTGTTGGCAGAGCCCTCTTGTGGGGACCGGGCATGTGCTGGGGACCGGGTTTTCTGTGAAGGATCACTTCTGAACTTTCCCAAGTGGTGTGTTCCAAATGACAAAACCATCTTTCTGTCTGACAGCTGCCTCCAATACGTGACTTCATTCATTAAGAGTGCGTGATCTTTTCCACGCTTCTAGGCCTGAAGGCAAAGCTATAGGGAACAACCCCTGGTCGGTGGCTGCCTGTGGTTCAGTATTACCTGTGT